CTAGTTATTAGAGAGCGTTTGTTCCAATATGGCGTAACGTACTGTTGTGTGATTGTGCTATACTAGAAACGATAAGTTAATTAACTAAGTTTAAAGGTAAGTTATTTTGAAACTACTTTTTACGTGGGTTCAATAGTTTTTGAATAGACAATTTTCCACTAGCCTAATTCTATAAAATTTTATTAGTCTTCAACACAGTGGCGGCTCGCCCCATGACGCAGGTGAAGCGCTGCTTCACCTGCAATTTAAAAAAAATATATTTTTTTTATTTTGATATTTATAAAAAAAATTCATTTATATCTTAAAAAATTATTTTTCGGACAATCTTTATTTGTATTTGCGATCAACAGGATACTGAGAAACCCCGCAACCAACAACGCGCCTACGTTTGCGCTTAATTTGGCGTGTTGAAACAGAGACCTGAAGCAGCTTTATTTGCACCGCATTGCTGCGTCCAGTACAGATACGAGCAAATACGACGGTTGCCATGACAACGGCACGCGCGCTTCCGTTTTGGCCGAGGCAAGTGAAGCAAATTATGAATTTGCGTCTAGTCTGCTCTGCATTACTACCGATATCGTATTGTGTCGAGGTTAGTTTTCATTGTTTTGAACAATGTTTCCTGTCTATGATACGGTTTGTGTTATGTTGGAAAAATCGTTTTCGCAATGGAGTAATGATGATAAAAAAGACTTTTTAAAGTCCGAAAAACCTTCTCCGATATTAAATGTAAATAAAACCGCTAAAGTTAAGGACAAAGTGTACAGTCGAAATTTTAAAAAATCGTGGTATAGTGAGTTTGCATGGTTATGTGGTAGCTATTATTTAAATAAACTTTTTTGTGTGCCGTGTTTGATTGTAAGTGTTAAAGCAACCGTGTGGAGCAAGTACGGTTTCAATGATTTCGGGAATGTGACTCGTGCTCTTCGTAAACATGAAGGATCATCGGATCATATGCGTTGCGCACTAGGTTTTTCAAAATTGAAGAAAAATCTCACTACTATTGAGGATGCTTTACGCGAAAATTCCAGGCTGTATATTAAACAGTTTAACGAAAACGTGCAACTTAATAGACGTTTCATGGAATTGCCAATACGCGCTGTCCTTTTTTTGGGCAAACAAGAACTGGCGTTTCGTGGCCACAACGAAGAGACGACTTCTATTAACCGTGGAAATTTAAAAGAGCTCCTAGAAGCATTTGTATCTATAAGCCCTGTAGACATTCAGGAGCACTACAAAAAAATTGCCTCAATATTTGCGGGCAATTCTAAAACCATTCAAAACGAAATTATTGACTGCATTGTCAAATGCATTGATGAATATGTGGAAAATGAAATAAAGGAATGCAGTTTTTTTTCCATTCAGGTGGATGATTCCACCGATATTGCCCACAAATCGCAGTGCAGCATAATAATCCGTTATGTCAATCTTGAAGGAAAACTTGTGGAGAGATTTTTAGGATTTCATGATGTAAGCTGCAGCCGAACATCTGAAGCATTATTTAACCTCGTGACAAGGTGTCTACAAAATTTTGATTACAAAACAAAACTCGTTGGACAATGTTTCGATGGTGCAAGCGTCATGTCCGGACAGTTAAATGGTCTTCAGGCTAAAATAAAGGAACAGGCACCCCAAGCAGTTTTTGTTCATTGCCTCGCACACCGCATGAATCTAGTGTTACAACAAAGTTGCAATAGTATTACAAAATGCCGCATTTTTTTTGCAACTATAAGTGGTTTACCGACATTTTTTCACCATTCTCCGAAACGAACTAACGTAGCAGACTCAATAATAGGACGTCGAATACCTGTTTCCGTTATTACGCGATGGACATCAAATTCTAAAGTTATCAGTTTTATAAATAAGGAGTGGGATTCCTTAAAGCAAGTGTTTACTGAAATTATTAACGATCCAACCTCCGATCAAGCCTCGGTTAGACAGAGCGACGGATTTCTAAATAAATTCCATGACTTCGAATTCGTGCTTTTGGTTGTTGTTTTTAACGAGATCTTTGGAATGACAGATATACTATTCGACACACTGCAAAAAAAATCTTTTGATATAAACCTTTGCATTAAGCAAATTAAAAGTGTTCAAACACAATTAAACAAGAAGAGAAATGAAGAATCATTTAAGAATATTTTCGAATTGGCTGCATCAAAAACAAGTGTACAAACGGAACACCGCGACGGCAGGACAAGAGTAACATTGTCTCGGGATCAAATTATTGAAAGATATAGAGTGCTGTATTTTGAAATTTTGGATACCATTTCTCTGCAAATCACGACCCGTTTCCAAGATATGGAAAAGCTTCATTTTGTGACGTTAATGGACACTTCGAAGTTCAAAACATATTCAGAAAAATTTCCAACAGAAGCCCTAAGTAATTTGAAGGAGTTTTATTCAAATACATTCACAGATTTTCAGAGACTGAAAAATGAATTGCAGCTGATCTATAGCGATGATCAATATCAAAATATGGAACCTCGCTTATTAAAGGAATCGCTATTTGAGAATCGCAGTATCTTCAAGGAGGCATATAAGCTTTTGTGTTTAATACTGACCATTCCATCAACAAGTGTTTCGACAGAACGCAGTTTTTCATGCCTTAAGCGAATCAAAAGTTATCTACGAAGTACCATGTCGGAAGATCGGTTGACGAACTTGGCAAAAATATCGATCGAAAAAGAATTATTAAATGAACTGATAGTGTCACAGCCGTTTTACGATGACGTTATAAATAAGTTTGCTAATTTGAAGGACCGACGAATTGCTCTCATATATACGTATAAACAATGAAAAGTGCCTGATAATCCTGACTTTGTTTTCGAGTTACTGAATTTAGGTAAGTTATTTCATGTTTTTTTTTTGTGTATGCGCTCTACATGGTATGGGGGGTCGGTCAATCCTGCGTCACCTATTTGTAAAATCACGAGCCGCCACTGCTTCAACAATATGTCTGATGTTTATTTTACCATGTATTGCGTGGTGTTTTTTATGTTGCCTAAGCGTTTTACCCGAATTAAAGTATATAAAATCTAAATCATGGTATCGCCATCTTTCCTCGATTCCCCAGATAAGATGGCTATTTGTATTTATTTTAGATGCCAAATATTTACAAAAGAAAATCATTGTAGAGGGCCAAATGGACCCAGGAGCAACTGAAATCTGCAGTGAGTACTGTTAAATATAGTCGAAATCACGAAAGATGACGATTACGTCATCATCTTAGTCTGCAGAAAAGACAAACCTCAACGATTTGTGAATATTTTTAATGAAGTTTCACATATATTAGACAGAGACAAACAGAATTTTATTGTCTAAACAAACTGTATTGCTAATTTGCACGTATCCGACAAAGATAGACGATGTTTTCATGTTGCATGATCGATCATATTTGAAAGATGAATAGTTAGGTTATGTTAAATCAGGTTAGGTTGTTTTCGAATAATACTGTCTTTGGTGTTAATGCCTTAAGATGTATTCTACTCATAACTGGTTTTTTTTAACAAAAACTCCCCACTAAAACTATTATTAAGGTATCACTTGAAACCATGAAATGAAATGAAAATAGATAGTGAAATAACCTAACTTCGCAAAATCATAATATAAATTCATGACTTCCTGATTTTATCATCGACGTACGTCCATTGATTACTTTAGCGCAATGACGTAATAATCATCTTTCGTGATTTTGACTATATGAGGGATATCTGTACGTTGGCTGGAAAAACTTTATACCGAGAAAAACATTGGAAAGGCGAATTAAACAGAATGAAGATCATAAGAAAAAATTGGGTCCAGACACTACTTTTGGGGCTGCACATGAAAACACTGGTTCGACATAAGAAAGAAATGCACCGTACGTACGGCCATCTTACCTTTTATGATATGACCATCTATAATACTATAGGAGAGATGGCCCACTTTTAAGAATTACCTACATTGATCAACAAAATGAAAAACCATATTTACAATAAATTTGCACAGACCACCAAATAATGATCACCATGCTCAATTATTAAAATTACAGATCATTAAAAAAACTACGGCCATCTTTCCTCCGTTTACCCTACTTCCTGGCCATTGGCGTCAGAAATAAAATTAATGGGGTTCCGACACTTTCAAAACGGTCGTGTCCTTTGAAGTTTAAAATGAAATCTTATTCCTTGGTGAAATCATATTAACTACATCTAAAAACAATCATAAAGTTGAAAAACATAAAAGTTTGTGCACATTCTGAGGCGTGGGAAGTAAAATGAAGTTTAATTGCATAACAGATTGAGGCCTTGGTAGATGAAAATATCCCGTTTAAGTTGTACCTAGAAGTTTCTATTGCACATCATTCATTCTGTTTGATTACACTTTTCTTTAAACGACGAATAATAGCCACATGCATATGTATAGGCACTCATGCAGTAGGAAATCTGCTACGGTACTGGTCAGTCGGGAAAGTAACATATTATGGAAGTAACAAATGTCCAGGTGGATACTAGTATAATCTGCATAGCAAAGCATGTCTTTACCTGTATAGATAGCGTATCTAGGCCCGGATTCGGATAGATATGTCATCATCGTCAACTACAGTCATTAGTACTAGATACAGAATTCCAATTGTGGGCTCAGGTTCCCCCTGAATTGGAAAGTTCTGCGAAAATCGTCAGAACCCATGTTACAAGGGGATCTAGATTTCTAGATTACGTCAACATATCTGAGGTTGATGTTTTACCAAACAGAAAATGGTATTGTTGCTGAGAATAAATGGCTGGAATTATGTGTTGTTTTTTCAGTCTGAAACACTACTATTTTTTGCACTCCTCTCAACTTTATCTGACAAATAAGTAGGTTGATTGGCCAGCCATGTAAACAAGAAAATGAGCTTTTTTATAAAAACGGATACGTGTGAATACGATACGTCACTGCCCACCCAGTTAGATTTACTCTCGCACCACTGACCAAACCAGGCAAATAGTTTCAAACACAATGAGAAAAAAATATACTTAGTTACCTGGGATATTTTGCGCAGCTCGCTCGTCGTAGCAGTGGCTGGAACTAGACGACTTCTTGTTCCACCAAGGGGGCCTGAAGCCCACAACTACGAACAGTACCCCAACGAGGATGTAGGTCAATAATGTGCTGTACTGCATCACATGCTCATCAATCGTGAACATCTGAAAAATAATTTTTTGGATTAGAGGCATTGCGTATCAATATCAGGTCATTGACAGTTTTCTGTTTTTAAGTGTTTTGACTTAAAAGTCACGGAAGTTATCCCAAATTACCGTAATCATTTGGGCTGATTCATCTATACATGTCCAACATTTTTGTATGGTACATCGTATCTCATTTTCAACACTTCACAGGTCAAAGTTTGGTAGTGCTAGTTCAAGATACATTGTGTATTATCAGTGTTATCACATTATCTATTACATTCCGTGGCCGGGGAAAATTAAGCCTAACGGGGGGAGCGAAAGTTACCAATACATGGAAATTCCGAAATTAGAATTCTCAATTTTTTTCTTTTTCACGAAAATCAATGCTACAATGTATACTTCATATCCGGGATCGATTACATTCCGTGGCCGGGGCATATTAAGCCTACCAGGGGGAGCGAAGATACAGACCCCAAAACTACAGCGATGGGAAGTGGAAGATGTGGTGGGCAGAGTATAATATAGGCGTCACCCACTCCTGCGATTACGAGGAAGTTGGAGCAGATTTAGTCACTGCTCCACTAAATTATTCGTTGGGACATTGTGTTTCACAAGACCTGAAAATGTCACGAGGCGTCGCCAAAATATTTAGATATATATACTAAGTGACATATAAATCTGAACACCCAGTTTAAATGGTATTATTTTAATAAAAGTTGGTGAATGTATTTATCTTACTGTAAATAACAAGTGAAAACATTTTCATCCTTATCAGTTGGACATTCCGGTTTTTATACTGCTTTTTTTAATTCACTAACGCTCTAAAAATGAATATTTAAGCCGCAGTAAAGAATCAGCGTTGGCGGATTTTGGTTCTCGACATCCTTTACGATCGGTCACGATGCCTAGAGTACGGAGACCTGTATGATTTCGTCAACTTAGTGAGTTTGATAGGGGCCGTATAGTGGGACTTCGGGAAGCTGGACTTTCTTTTCGGGCAATTGCAGTTAGAGTGCAAAGAAGTGTAGACACTGTGGTTAGGTGTTGTCAGGCATGGCTTCGAGAAGGCCGTACGCAAAGAGCAAGGGGCACTGGACGCCGCCGTAGAACAACAGACCGTGAAGATCGCCGCCTAAGATTATTGGCCTTAAGGGACCGTTTCTCCACTACCAGGTCCATTGCAAATGAATGGTTTGCAGAACATGGAAGACATATTGGCATGCGAAGTGTTTACCGACCGAAGTTTTGGCTTGTTTTCATACCGGCCACACTGGGTCCTCCCTTTAACTCGAGAACACCGACGTAATCGCCTTGAGTGGTGCAGACAACGGTCACTCTGGGATCAGGAATGGAACAGTATTGTCTTTAGTGACGAGTCTCGATTTTGTTTAGTCATGCACGATGGTCGTGCCAGGGTTAGAAGGCGACGTGGTGAAAGGAGGAATCCACAGTTTTTTGTTGAAAGACATATTCATCACACTGTTGGAGTTATGGTTTGGGGTGCTATAGCTTATGGTTCCAGGTCACCTTTAATCTTCATCAGAGGTAACATGAACGCGCAGCGTTATATCCACGAAGTTCTAGAACCCCAGCTTTGACCCTATCTTGACACCCTGGCAGATCCAACTTTCCAACAAGATAATGCCCGACCACATGTTGCAAGAGTCACAATAGACTTCTTTCAACATAATGATGTCATATTGTTACCATGGCCACCAAGATCTCCCGACTTATCCCCAATTGAGCACGTGTGGGATATGATGGGTAGGAGATTGCTCATTTTGCAACGTCCTCCTCAGACTCTAGAAGCACTTCGAGAGGAGTTGGTGGTTGCCTGGAATGAGATACCACAGGTGGACATTGACCACCTGATCAGAAGCATGCCTAGGCGCGTTGGAGAATGCGTAGCACATCAGGGTGCATCCACACATTATTAAAGGTCAAAGGGCTTTAAAGCAGTGCAATCATTTTGAAATTTTTATCATTTACTTATTATGCTTCATTAAGTACTTATACAAAATTTTATTAAAATAAAACGATTTAAACTGGGTGTTCGGATGTATATGTCACTTAGTATATTATAGTTAAACAAGATTAGAAAGTTTCAGATGGTAAAGCTCACAATTTCAGGCAAAAATACGGCGGCCTGGAGTAGCTGCATACCCAACAACTAGCTCCGGAAAGAGTCGGCGTCCTCAAACGTGAGGGCAGATTTTTGTTCTACATGGTAACAAAAAACACTTTTGGGGAAAGTCCACTTATCGGACTATATTTTTCGGATTGCGTCGCACACGCGAGTATGCGACACAATACAGTGTAAAAAAGTGACTTTCCCCAGAATTGCATACGGCGTGGACAGGAAGAATTGGGGAGTCATCTCTAAACTCATAAAATTTGTTTTTCAAGATACTGGAATATCAATAAAAATATATGTGATGTGATATCATCTGTATTCCTAATTGACCTGACTAGAAACCCTAAATGTAAAGATTCTTCCGTCAAACAACGATACAAACCCTATTTTGAAATTTGCATGTGCGTTTTGTATAAGTAACTTTCGCTCCACCTGGTAGGCTTAATATGCCCTGCCCACGGGATATAATCGATAACGGATATGGAGGACATATTGTAGCAGTGATTTTCGTGAAAAAAGTGGTGTCGATTTGAAGAAAAATTCAGAATTTTAATTTTGAAATTTGCATGAACGTTTCGTATAGGTAACTTTCGGTCCCCCAGGTAGGCTTAATATGCCCCGGCTACGGGATGTAATCGATACCGGATATGAGGAATACATTTTAATATTGATTTTCGTGAAAAATAAGTGTATTGATGTGAAGAAAAATTGGGACTTCTAATTTTGAAATTTGCATGCGCGTTGCGTATAGGTAAATTTCGCTCTCCCTGGTAGGCTTAATATGCCCCGGCCACGGAATGTAATCGATCCAGGATATGGAGGATACATTGTAGCATTGATTTTCGTGAAAAAAAAGTAATGTTGATTTGAAGAAAAATTGATAATTCTAATTTTGAAATTTGCATGTACGTTTCGTCGTTTCCCTCTGGTAGGCTTAATATGGTCATGGAATGTAATAGATAATGTGATAAACCTGATAATACACAAGGGTGTCCAATAAGTACCACGACAAACTTAAGGAGAAGGTAGGCTTTGGACCGACCTCCCAAATAAAAACTTACCTATACATATAAAAGTGTCAAGGTTATTGAGATATTGAATTTTCTCTTAAAAATTAAAAAAGCGAACCTTTTTATCTGTGGTCTTTAGCTGCATGTACAAATAAGGTTATGCTTTGCTCATTTTTTCTGTAAAATACTTCTAGATAGTTGCTTTATCATATACAAATGCAATGTAGTTAAAAGATACTAAGGAATCATGATCAAATAAGGACTATTTAGAACCTTCTGATATCTTTTTCTCAACTTTGACCATCTGTGGTGAAACAAAAATGTACTGGGCTAGTGTGTGAAATACGAAATTACGCCATATTGTAGAGGAGAAAAAACGTATGTTAATATTAACATAGTTTTTATTTTGAAATCTCATCTCAAAGTCAGGGGTAAAAAAACGATTTTGGGATTCATTTTCTTTCGTCTATCATCTGAAATACTAGGAATCACCAAGCTAACTATATGACATTTTGTTAGTTACCTGAATGTACAAATGTGCCCCCTTCCAATCTTCGTACCTTTTACCTGTTCCGAGATGCCAATTGGTGAGAGTAAAATTTGAAACACCGGTATAGTATTGATATCTTGAGAGTAGGGATACTTGAAGTGTCTCTCTATTGACAAAATAAACAAAATACAAACTACTCATCCTTTGAATATCCAATTATTTGAGCAATATTTTTCCATTAAAAATAGCAATCATCAGATTATATTAAACGCGGTAAATACGGGAACTAAGATTAGATATGACAAAAACTGTGGTGACTATTTTCCGAGCAAAGAGTCGAATCCCATTAAGACTATTTTATCATAAACACGGATGTTTTAATTGTACGATCTGGACGCCAGCTGTATTTTGGATACTTATACAGGGTGTCCGGTAAATAGTATGACAAAAACATAGGGACTATAGCCGAAGGGCAGATCTATAACATACCAGAGAATGACCCTAGTAAAAGTTTCACTGTTCTTGAGATATTAATTTTTTGCCTTTTTCGAAAAATGTTCTCTTTTAATCTATCTTTTGTTGCTGTGTCTAGAAATAACCGCATATCTGTTTGTGTGTGTGTATCTTTTATAGTCAAATTATCATAGCGGTGTGCGGTGTCAAAGTTATCATAGTTGATCAAATATGATGGCACGGCGTCATTGAAATCAGTTTCAACGGTCGAACTTCTATTAGAATCAGACCCCATAAAACAACAAACTTATGAACAAATTCATAATGTTTGTAAATCTCAAGATTTCCCTCGCTTCAACATCTTTTTTTTATTTTTTTATTTTTTAATTTTCTTTTTTTGATATTCTGGACCGACTCAATCCGTTCCAAAATACGACGATTAGTAGATCCAACCAGTGTTCCATTCACAATAAAAATGCAAGGGTAAAGTACGTCATATGAGATCGACTAACGATGCTATACATGATTTTGATCGACCACATGATAGCAGAGATTCATAAAATACAATTTAACCTATTGTGTTTTATATCGGATATCTCTCATCTAGTTAGCAGCGTAGCGTTGAACATACGAGGGTTGATCCCTATGCTCAAGCTCTGACCCCCTTCGCTATAATTAATTTGTATGTTTTATGTTTCTACTGATTCCCTACTAACATACAGGGTGTAAGCGTTATGATAGTCATTATTTAAATGGGTGATGAGGGGGTTAAAAGAAGCAAAAAAATTTATATAACATGGGGATCAAAACGGCATTTTTTAGAGAAAAGTGACTTTAAAGTACAATAAAATCTGACAGCGCCGCAATGCCAGACGCAAATTACGATGGAATGCAGAGTAAATAAAGATGGAGTTTGTTATTTTTGGCTCTTAGGTATTATTTCACTATTTGATAATGTACTCGTAAAATGCAAACAATTAAAAAAGACGGACTTACCACTAACTGTCTCAGCGCATCACCTAGTGTGTGAAAGTTTATTGAACGTATTAAAAAATCCACTTATAAATAGGGAACACAATTTTGATACACACACTGTTTTTCT